TGTGTGCGTGCTCAAGTGTGCATGCATATATATGTATGTGTGTGTGTGTGTGTAGGGCTTGGTGGTAGGGAAGGATAATAAAGTCTTAAGAACCAACCAGAAAGAATTCTATGGGATTTGGGGAGTCTCATTAGTTTTCAGTATATAAAGGATCCAAGTGGCCTTCTATGTGGCAGATGCTAGAGCAACCTTAATGGAATCAGTGGGCTGTCTGGCCTGTGGCCTCCTCAGGTAGGCATGGTACTTAGTGACTTCCAGCTTGCTTGGGCTGGCAGAGGAGCTGTGCTCAGGCCATCCGAGAGCTTTTCTCTCCCTTTTCTCTTCATCCTGGCCCCTGACATCTCCAGATCCTGGAAGGCAGCTCTATCCCAGTCAGGCAAATATTCATGTCCTGAGGCTCCTAGGCCTCTGGATTCCTAGGCCATCTAACTTCTCTGTCATGGCTCTTTTTGTTCCCCAACATAATGTTTTTATTAATTACTTGGGAATTTCATACAATGCGCCTGATCACACTTGCTTCCCATTCCTTCCAGGTCCACCCCCCACCCTTGAGCTGCCCCCTCCTTGCCCTAAATAAGAAAACAAAACAAAACAAAACACAAAAAGGCCACCAAGTCCAATTTGTGTTGCCCAGATGTCCACTGGAACCTCATCAAGCTCCAGTGGCCAGCCTCTGAAAGAAAACCGAGTCCTTCCTCATCCCCACTCCACCAGAAGCCATCAGCGGTGAAGGGTTACATTTCAGCATCTTTGTCACAGTTTTTAGGGACTCTCTTCAATATCTTCCCATTGCAATTGTTTCTTTTGTTGGGGGGTGAGAGGGAGAGGTTGGCACAGAAGCCTTCAATGTCTCTCATTCTCAGTTATGAGTCTGTAGTCGTGGATCTCACTGCAAAAGATGCCTCCTTGTCTGTAGCAACTGGTGGCAGCTCAGATCATGGACATCCACATGGTTTCCGGTGTCTGTTGTGGCTCTTTACACACAGATACTGAGCTGTTCAGCTTCAGCCTGGGCCGTGTCTTCCTCATTTCCCAGGTGGAGAGGTTTCATTGTTTGAAAGCCTGTCTGTTCTAGGCTTCTGTCCTCTTTAGTGCTCCCTTCTTGCCCCTGAAGGCCCCTTGGGTGCTCCTCACAGTTATGGCTTGGTAGGAAGATGAGGCTGTGGGTTTGTTTGACTGGACTAGGGTAGAGGGGCTAGGAGGGTAAGAAGGTCCGAGGGCCTCTATGGTCCCCAGTATGCCTTGCTGTCCCCCTGCCTATACTTAGGTCCACATCTGAGAAGCAGTCTGGTGGCTTGGGTTCTCTTGATTGAGAAGCTGCTGCCTGAGCCTGTGTGAAGCTAGGCCTGGAAGCAGGTGACTGAGGCTGGGCTGGGCTCTGGGAGCTAGGGAGGACTTGTCTTCTTTGGGCCCTGGGAGATTGGAGAATGTCTGAAGGGGAGTGGAGATGGCTCCCTTATGTGTCACGGGAACTGCAGAAGGGGGTGGAGATGCAAGGAGAACCTTGCTGTTCTCTGGCACTCTGGAGTGCCTAACAAGGACACTGAGAGGAAGGCCAGATAACAGAACCAAGCTCAAGCCATATGGGGACCAGTCAGGAAAGAAAGGGATCTTGAGTTCTAGTGGATTCTATCTCCTACACTCCAGCAATAACTGAGTCTTAGTGGGAGGGAACCTGCTCCCAAAGGCTAGGGATGGGGTAGGAGGATCCATTTCTCAACTTTCCTGGAACCTCCACTGGAGAAGACAAGATGCTTCCATTCTTAGGGGCGCGTCTCTGCTCAACACCAAGAACGCTTACCCAACCTGCACTCAGGAGGCCCAGTGAGCAAAGCAGGGGCAGCATTGTTCTAGAACAGGAGAGAAGGCAGTCACTGACCAGGGGAATGAGAGGTGCTTGTCTGCTGAGCTCCAATGCTACCCAAACAGCCCAGCTCTGCTTTCCTACCAGTCCTGTGCTGGGCAGGAATAGTCCAGCATTCTGAGGTCTATGAGAACTGAGGCTGTCTGCTCGGATCTGGCTGCCCTAAGTACAGCCTAGGCCCTACAGTCCTGGACCCCTGCTGTCCCAGGTGGGAGGACCTGAGGGACAGGATGTGGGGTCCAAAGCTCAGGGTATAGGCGTGGCTCCATCCAGACCTCAAGTATACAGACACAGGAAGAGGAGAAGGGTGCATGGGGCTGAGTATGGTGAGGGATAGACCCTCGATCACCCAGACCTTAGAAGGGTGCCCACAGTGCTGGAAAAATGGCTCTTAGAATTGGGGGCCCAGAACTTCATGGAGGGACGTCCCATCTCTTTTGGGGACCATGTTATACTAGAGATGCCAGTTGGGGACTGAGAGGGGAGTGGGGAGGGTCCCAGGAGCACTGTATCTGGCCCTTCACCTCCATTCTACTGGGCTGGGAGACTGCTGCAGGTTCAAAGGCAGGGGCCAGTGATCTCCTTCAGGCACAGGACAGCTCCTCCCCTGGGTCCAGACACCTCTGTGGCCAGTAGGTGCCTTTATTTTATCCAGTGATTTAACTAGTTTTGCTTGAGCCCAGTTGAAATTGGGATATTTCTGGGCCAGCTGCTCCCTCTGTTTCATTGACCCTCTGGCACCTGCCCATCACGATGGAAGTCCTGAGTATGTATGTATGTACGTACGTACGTACGTACGTACGTATGTATGTATGTGTGTGTATGTGTGTATATGTATGGGGGTGTTGGGTGCGGGGAGAGGAATGGAGGGGGATTCAGATAAATATGGCTACTGGGATTCCAGGAATAGTGGGTTGACTATGTGGTATTGAGCCAGGGTGGTTTTGGGAGGGACCAACCAGCTGCCTCTCTGCCTTTGGGAGGCTTGCTCTGCTCTGAGAGGGCAGGACTAGGAAGAGGTGGGGCTCATGCTGAGGGGTGTGGCTAGAAAATGGGTGTGGCTTGATACGGGAAGACCAGGGAAGGATCTAGAGCTAGAAGGCAGAAGTACAGGCGGGAGGAAGAGCCAGCTTCACCCTAGGGGATTTCTCTGCTTGCCTTAAGTATATGGTTGTGCCTCTGCGTCCGTCTGACTTAGGTGTCTCATCTTCATCAGTCCTTTTACTGTCCTGTGTACCCGGCAGACGCAGGTAACTGATAAAAGGCCACAGCCTGGGTAGCAAGGATCTCTTCTCTCTGTATGCTGATTCAAAGATGGGAAAACTCAGGTTTGGGCAGGGCCAAGCCCAGTACTCAAGAACCACAGCTGGATGGGAAAGGGAGCAGGCGCAGTGGCAGAGGCAATCCCATGAAACAAGAGCTCTGCTGGTCCTCTAGCGAATGATCCTAGCACCCACTGGACACCAGGGCCTCGATAAGGGGACAAAGGCACAGCTCTGGGGACAAATACTCATGGGTATTGTCAGCTCAGCCACTAGAGAGCTGAAGCGAGGCCCACAAAGGACCCGAAGAAAGGGCCGCGGGAGGGGCTGCGAATGGGCCTTCCCGCACATGCCACCGTTGCCCGGGCGACGGCCCTCTCATGGAGAGGTCTGCTGGGCCATTGTCCGGGGCCCGCAGGACGTGTCACACACCAGATGGTCGTGTGCTGTCTAGGTCACTTATAGGGGGACAGAGTGAAGGAATGTGGCCAGCCCGGCAGGCCGGGGCACCATCTGTTCCCTCAGACCGTGGGCATCGGGCGGGCATTGAGCGTCCAGCCTGCCAGGCCCAGCCTTCTTCCCGACTTTAATTAGGTAATTCCATAATTGGGCTTTATTTCAGGTAAATTGCATTTCACACCCGAGAGGGCTGCAATGGTCCTTGTGGGAGAACAGCACTTGGCCACTCTACACAGTCCATAGTACAGCACCGAGGCCAGTAGGGTGCAGGGACTGGGTCCTGCCCAGATGGGCAGCCCTGAGTTCCTCATGGGCTATAGCCTGCCTGGGCAATGCTGAGGGCCCTGGCTACAGTCAGCCACAGCCTGGGGCTTCCACAAATATTTACCCAACAAGGAAACAACAGCTTCTGCCTTTCAGCAATTGTTGCTGCAGAACCCCTCTTGAAGGGGGTTGAGACCAGAAAGCATGAGGCTTCAGCTGCCCTTCTACCCGTCCCTGCCAGGGATGGCCAGTGCTTGTTAGACCAGAAACCAAGATCTTGTGGAAGCTTCTAGGATATGCAGACCCCCAAGAGTCAGTGTAAGAGGAACTTGAGGCCTTTCCCCTCCTATAGGGGCCTCCAGTTGCATCTCCATACTTGGATCCTTGATCCCACTACTGGCTACCTGCTGCCTCTAAAGACCCAGGGTACCTCCATCCTTCAAATCTCAGAGACCTTCAGTCCTGACAGTCTGACATATGGGGTAGGTTCTAGAAGGAGGACAGACTAGGGACAGAGTAGTCAGTGGAGACAGTAGACACTGGCTGGGCAAGTCCCTGTTCACAGTGTGCAGTTTCCATCCCTAGAGGATGGCTCACAATGAGTGACAGCCATAGGCCCAGGTGGGCAGGGTGGTACTCACTTGGAATAGACCTCCAGCCTAGGGGACTGACTGGACAGCCAGAGGAACATCATAGTCCCAACAGGGAAATGGAAGCTTTGAGGGGAACCTCACTTCTATTTCAGGAATCAAATTCCTACAGCCTTGGAAGCTGGTCCTGGAAAGGATCTACTCTTGGATGGCCTCTTGGGTCACCCTGGTGGGGAAGGACAGATGACAGGGCCTGGCCCATGTCTGAGGGTGACTTCCTGGGCATATGTCAGTGTTGTTCAGCTAAGCCAGGTCCTAACGCAGGCTCAGCTACTCCCAGAGCTCAAGGTCTTCTGGGAATCGGGTGGTAACTATATCTTTATCACATTGAGTAGACAGGGATACCTGGAGTGGTGGCCAAGGGCTGCCCCTGCCCAGCCCAGCTCTGTTCTACCTTTGACATTTCATTGGGCATTTGAGCCCTTAGAGCCTGGGCCTTCTCTGCATGGCCTGGCCAATCATGCTCAGGCCATGACCACCTGGGCACCTGGGCTCCAGGGCTCCAGGGAACTATAGGGTCCTGTCCACAAAGAGGTTGAGGCTGTCCATGGGAGCAGCAAGAGAGAGGAAGGTGGGGTAGGGCAGAGAACAAAGGTTGAACTCTATGTTATTCTAAAGACTCCCCCACCCCCAGACACTCCCAGAAGTAAGCATGTGCCAAGATCAACCTGGGATGTCCCAAGTTTATTTGAAAAAGCCTCTCAATCAAGATCATACTATCAAATTCATTAAAACAGAGATTCTGAATCACCGGAAATTATCCTGATTTCTGTGAGGTGCGATGTCCGAGGAACCAATCCCGGGAGAAATGGTGATACCACTAACTGTGTCATGGCTCAGCTGCTGGCTGAGATGTGCTGTGATGAGGCCGGAGTCTGGGCATCTCTCCAGCACCTCTGTCAGCAAGGAGTAGGGGGCAGGCTGCACACATAGGGCACATAGGCCTCGAGGGCCCTGCTGACTGCTTTAGGGGAGGAGCTGTCAGTCCACAGCTAACTAGGGTGGTGGACAGTGGATATCCCCCAATTTGGATATTGGGAACGCTTATGGTATCCTGCCCATGTGATCAGCATCACTAGAGAGGGAAGGAGTTGGGCTCTGGCCTGCTGAGCCCCCACTGGCCTGTAGCCTGTAGAGTGGGCTGGATGTGCCCTACCCTTCTTGCTCCCAGCTGGGTCCTGGATTCAAGGCTGAGGGTGGGGATCCCAGACTCAGACTCTGCCATATTCTTCCTGTCTCCCTTGAGGAAGCAACTTGACATGGCCTGGATGGGCCTCCCTTTGCCCGAGTTGCATCCTAGCCCTACAAGATGCTCCCCATCACTGTGTTCCAGCCATCAGGTGAGCAACATCACCATCTTGATAGGAGTGACAATTCTGGCCTGAGAGGAACCCCATGCCTAGCCAAATTCTAGTACCCACTGGCTGGGCCTTGGTGAGTTCCAGGTTCAGGCTGGTGATTTGGCCCACGGGTTTTGGGGCTGTAGGGAGCTAGACTGCCATATGAGATCTTCAAGGGGGTGAGGACCAGGTGAGTGCCCCTGTTGAGGGAGGTGGGGCAGACCTGTTAGGGTTACCCTGGACCTCTCTTCTGAGCTGCTTCAGGAGCCCTCATCAGGGCCCATCCCGGGCACAGTCAGCTGTTCATAGGTGGGAAGGCTGTTGCTGGGCAGGAAGAGCTCAGGGTTGATGGAGCCATCTTCATCACTAGCCACCACCTGTGGCCTGTTGTTGCCAGTTGGACCACCCTGCTGTAGGGACAGCAGCTGGTGGAGCATGTCTGTGATGATCACCAGCCTCTGGTCCAGTTGTGTCACCTGTGGGGACAGAAGCAGAGATGAACATGGTTCTAGGGAGAGGCTAGTGCAGGCCATCCCAGGGCTTGAGTGTGGAAGGCCTGAAAGACAGAGAATGACATGTGTCCTTATAGATATGTGAATTTATGTATGCACCATGCTGAGAGGCCCTAGGTCACCCTCATGTGCCTGTCTACATGTGCTTATTGGGGTGCAGTACAGAACTGAGTTCTTGTGTCTATCCATCCATCCATATTTGTCCTTTCCTGTTTCTACATAGACCTAGTGGCTGGGAGCACCTCATAGCCCCCTCCTGGGCTTTTTAGTCTTGAGACTCTAGACAGCCTTCTGCAGCCTCTAACACAGTCTCTGGCTTTTTGTGGCCAAGTGGAGAGGGGGAGGAGGGAACACAATGGGTGTAATTTCAGAGGCCAAGGGTTATGTCTAGCTTGGCTTGGAGGGGACTGGAGCCCTATACAGAGAGGTCTAGCTGAGAGGGGCTGTCACCTGGAGAGAGAGATTGGGACAGGTGAAGACTGAGCAGACAGAGGCTGGGTGGGCCATGGAAGAGTGCCAGTCCCCAGAGATATCTCAACAGGGACTAACTTAGGACAGCATCACCTTTCTGGGTCTCCATTGACCAGGGCAGTGACTAAGTGGAGTTCTGGGCCAGGTGGTCCCTAATCCATGCCTATAAAGGGCTTGTTTGACTCCAAGAAGTAGGCGGGTAGCTAAGAAACTAGGGAGGAGCTAGAGCCAGGGTAGAACCTGGGATAAATGGGTGCAGAGTAGGCACTGGACAAAGGTCTCACTCGCTGTGCTTGTAGGAGAGTCATTGGAGAACTTCTTAGAAAGAAGGAGCCATTGTATAGGGGGCTGGAGCCAAGTCCTGGGGGCCTGAAGTGGTTGGCTACTTCCTTTTCTCCTCTAGAAGAAGAGAAGACCTGTCTAGGGAGGCCAGAGCCCCCAGCACAGTTCCCTAGGAAGCAGCAGCTATTCCAGGGCCAGTTGGAGGATTGGGTGGGGGGTGGGTGGGGGAAATATATGAGCCTACCCAGCATAAGCAATAGAGCATGGGTTGCGATTGAGTGAGGGGACCTCAGAGACTGAGCACATGGGTGGTGCCCTCAGTGTGCTCTGTTAGGAAAGCAGGGGTCCCCCTCACCCTCACATGGGGACCTTGAGCAAAGGGAACACCAGTGACGCAGGGATGGAGCCAGAGGTCTTGATGGATGGCCTCATATGGTCAGACCCGCAAAGCTGCTTTAGGGAAAACCATGAGATGACTCAGCCAACTGCTGACTGCTGGCCTCAAAACCTGGTTGACTTGGGCCCTGAGGACAAGGGACAGCATGGGGCCAGCTCCCATCTTCCTGGACAAGTGTGTTCTTGGGGAACGTCTGTGTCCTAGGTAGATCCTGAGGCTTTTAGTACTGGCTCCTCTGTCCCACTTCCGGTTCGTATTCTTGAAAGGGCTGGATGGGAGAAGTATCACGTGGAGCTCACACGGAGAAACTGAAGCTCAGGGCTGAAGAGTGCTGTGGGTGGAAGCTAAAGCTAGGTTGTCCCTGGCAGGTGAAGCTAGGGTTCACGCCCCATCCGAGGTCTCCCTGAGCCACCCTGCACCAAAGGAGGGTTGTCTGAGCCTACTCTTGGTCTGGCTTCATGTAGCTTTAAACACACAGAGCCAGTTTGAGTAGGCAGGGGGAGAAGCACCAGTTGGCTCATGAAAGATGGATCGTTTCGTGAATGTTTACTAACCCACACTTTTGCTGATGGGCAGAGTCCTTAAAGAGAGTCCTTGGGAGTGGGGGGAGGGCTGTTTGAAACCTCCTGCAGGGCAGCTGCCACAGGGCCCACCAAGCCTGTGTGTGCCACTCCAGGGTATCTCCAAAGCTTCCCTGGACAGTTCCCAAGCTCATAATGACCCCGTGGCCACTGTTTATGCCAATCGGGGTTTTGAGGAGCCTGTTTGGGTCAAAAGTTGTCCTATTGGCCAAGCTGCTAAAGGCAGGATATGGGCTAGAGTCCTACGAGGGTCCAGAGTCTGGGACCTCAGTGTGCTGCTGTCACCTTGTCTGAGGGGGGAGGGGTAGACGTGTAGAGACAGGAAATAATGCAAGGGGTCATCCAAACACACACACTCCTCCAGTTCTCTGGCTGCTTGAGAGTTTGCCTGGATTCCATGGCCATGTGCGGGATCCTCCTGGGTCCTCTTGGCCATCCACCGGATCCTGCTAGATTTGCCCAGCTGTGCACGAATAGGGCCCTCTTGCTTGCCCTGGCTATCACGGCAGTCACTTGTGGTTGAGTTTTGTAATTTTCCTAGCCTTGATCAGACCAGCTTGGCCTGGGGTGCAGATACCAGGGCTTGGATTCAGGGTACAGGGCCCTAAGATACATTCAGGCTGTGGATCTTTGTTGGTCAGCTGAGGACACTCTGTAGAGTCACAGGAGAATGGTCTTTGGTGCCTTGGGGGACATTCATAGGTTACTTTCAGAGGCCATATTAAAAATATTTGCTGCCCAGTGAAAAGTTATCAGATGCCATCTGGCAATAGAGGAGCCTGTGGGGAGATGGCCAGTGTGAATGTCATATACTTGTATTTATGATCTTGCCTGGATCTTAGTGGCTGGCTGTGGTGCTTGCCATCTAGTCTGTCCAGCACAGCTTGGGGATCAAGGGTTGCCCTGTGAAGTAGGACAGCCTGGCTATGCATTTTCCTTGTTGCTTCTGTTTCCCTAGCTGGGACGTGAACCAAGCTTCTGCCCACCGGTGTGTTGTATAGCAGCCTGGGGAGCTTGTCTGCCAAGGCCATGCTTCTGCCTTGAAAGCAGGTGGTCTTAGCTTGCTCTTTTGGCCTCTGCCTCTTTCCTGGCCACTTAAGCTCCCAAAGCAGCCCCTAGAGAGCCTCTATGCCCTTCATGCCCAAGCTGTGTCCAGTCCTGCTGGGCCATTCAGGGAGGGTCCTGGCCTGGTGTACAGTGGCTCCTCAGCCCAGAACCCAGCTCCAAAGATAACACTTCAGCAATTGTTCTTGGAGCCACCTGGCTCTACTTTCTTCCTTTGGGTTTTGAGTGCATGGCCAGAAAGCTGGTGAGGCGCTGTGTCCCATGCTGGGTAGGTGGAGGCAGGGAGCCACGACACCACAGGCAGGTGCCCAGAGCGGTGCCACCACCTTCAGGGAAGGGAGTGCCTGCTCTGGGCTCTGGGATGGTGTTCTCCAAGAGCTACTGGGACAGATCAGTTTTGGGGATCTCAGATCTCATCACTATTTGCAATTCAATAGTGATTAACAGGGCAAGGCAGACAAAAGCCTTGTTGTGCCCTGTCTCTGTTCACCTAAGTAAAAGCCATCACTGGCTTCCCTGGGCCTCAGAAGAGAAAAAAGCAATTAGAACAACAGCTAGTTAGAGAGCTGGCGGCGGCTGGCGATCAGACTCAAGGCAACGGGGATTCCTGTTTGATGTGGTTATGAATTTGCTTTCAAAGGAAAATCTTGAAGAGTCTTTTCAGAATTTTTTTTCTTTCAGAACCTGCCAAGCCTTGATCCTTGGTCAGGACCCCCACAACCCTGGCCTGTGGATCGTCTCAGCCTCAGCCTAACCTGGTGGGGATACTTAGCCTTGGGTTCAGGGTGTAAGGCCCTGCTATGCATTCAGGTTGGGGATCATTATGGGTCAGCCCAGGGCCCTCTGCGGGGTATTGGGAGAATGGCCTTTGGTGCCTTGAGGGACACTCATAGGTCACTTTTAGAGGCCATATTAAAAATATTTGCTACCCAGTGAAGAGCCATCAGATGCCAGCCTGGCAACAGAACAATCTGTGTGGAGTCAGCCAGGGGGAGTTCGGTAGAAGACATAATGCGTATGAGCCTAGACCCCAGTCGAGCTGCTCCCTGGCTCAGTTGACCCCAGGCTCACACTGGCCTCCACTTCTGCATCTTATGGATCAGAAGAACACTGCCTGGCGGGCCCTGATGATCCTCAGCCCTACCTTAGGCTGCCTGCCCATCATCACTCCTCCTCCACGTCCTCTCTCCCAGCACCCCGACACTACCATCAGAGAGACACCTCTTTAGTGCTGTCTAGGTTAAGTGTGGCCCTACTTTGAACAGAAGGAAGGAAGTCTGCCTAGGGTACTATGGGAGAGGGAAGAGTTGGGGCAGAAGTTGGAGGAGTAGCGAGGGAGCAGTGATTGGTAGGTACTGGAGCTTCAGTGGGTTTATATATGGTGTTTATACAAACGAGCTTAGCACTTCTCAGCAGGTAGCATTATGGTTCTCATTTCAAACACTTCATGGAGATGCTAAAAGAGGGGTGTGTAGTGGAGCTGTTAGGGTCATCTCCTGTCTCCTACCCCTTTGGGGGCCTTCTGTTACGGAACTTTCCTCCCATCAGCTGGAGGCCAGGCTCCCTGGACAGTTCTATCCTCCGGGCGCAGCTAGCATCTCCTATTCCCTGAACGGTTACAGTAGTGTCTACTGGCTGGCCTCCCACTTCAGCAGGTTTACACGTGACAGTCCTCTCAGAACACAAAACAGCACTGTGCTGCTGGCCCAGGAGCCACCTTATAACTCACTCCCATTTCTCCATGTGGCCTTTTTCTTTCTTACTCCCGTGACTCCAGGCCTATGCTGCTCCTCAAACACGGCAGTGTATATCTCTCTCAGGGCTGTCCTCTCTCAGCCCTTTCTTTCCTCTGCGGTGATGCTGCCAGCCCACACACAGTCACTGTTTCCTCAAGGTGCCGGCTTCCCTCACTGGAATTGGGTCACGTCAGTTGTGGTCTTTGTCCACACTACTCTGAGTTCAGGGAAGGACGCCACCAATGCTAGGCCCGTGAGTACCTTCACTCCAGAGTCCAAGCCCAAGGAAAGGAAGGTAGTTTTACCTTCTCAGTGCAATCAGGCCTCATCTTCACCTAGCACCCATCTGCATGGGGAGACCATAGTGAACTCCCGTGAATGACACATGGTCACATGGAGCTTGTACAGGTTGGTCTTGTGGAGTGGAGTGGA